CCTTGCGAGGATAAAGTACGTGCTATCAGAGAGTAAACTTTACCATTCTCNCGGTCACTTAACGCAGTGACTCGTTTCGATAGTTATCCCATCCCGCATATACATGACATTACGGCTTCACTTCATGGCACGACTATTTTTTCTAAGATCGATCTGGTACGAGCTTATCATCAGATCCCGGTCGCCACTGAAGATGTCGAAAAGACTGCTGTCACGACTCCTTTTGGTCTGTTTGAGTTCCTACGTATGCCTTTTGGTTTGCGAAACGCTGCTCAGACTTTTCAGAGGTTTACTGACAGTATAACTCGAGACTTAGATTTTGTTCACGTTTACATTAACGATTTGCTTATTGCCTCTTTCAATGTAGATGAACATTATCATCATTTGACCTTGCTATTTCAACGTTTATCTGATAAAAGTATTGTGGTTAATCCCGATAAATGTGAGCTTGGCAAAAAGGAACTGATTTTCCTTAGTCACAAGATCACACAGGAAGGTATTTTGCCTTGCGAGGATAAAGTACTTGCTATTAGAGAGTACACTTTACCATCCTCAGTCAAAGACCTGAAGGCGTTTTTGGGTTTATTGAATTTCTATAGACGATTCATCCCACACGCCGCTGAACGATTGCAACCTCTTGCGGACCTACTTCGTGGTAATCCACGTAAGCTCATGCTTACGGATGCCGCACGAGTAACATTCCAAGAGGTAAAGACATATTTAGCGCAGACCACGCTGCTTTTGCATCCTGTATCGTCAGCCACGCTTAGTATAGCGGTTGATGCTTCAGACTTTGCACTTGGGGCGGTCTTGCAACAACAGGTTTCTGGGTTTTGGCAACCTCTTGAGTTTTACTCTCGACGCCTTACACCCACAGAAACCAAATATGGTGGTTTTGGACGCGAGTTGTTGGCAGCCTACAACGCCATCAAGCATTTTAGACATGCAGTCGAAGGTCGAGATTTTACCCTATATACGGACTATAAGCCTGTTACATATGTTTTGCATACTAAGTCTGACCGTTACTCGCCCCGAGAAACCAGACACTTAGACTATATTTCACAGTTCACGACTGACATTCAGCATGTCCAAGGCAAGTCGAATTGTGTTGCGGACGCTTTATCACGTATTCAGGTTAATGCGATAAAGTCCCCCTTAGATATCAGTGCTATGGCTAACGCCCAGGCAAATGATTCATCTTGCGAAGAGGCGGTCCATTCAACTTCCTTAAGATGTCAGGCGATACCGTTAACGACTACTAACGGTACCATCTTATGTGACATGTCCACAGGTCTACCCCGACCGGTAGTACCCTCATCCTATCGTCGTTTAGTTTTCGACATCTTAAATGGTTTATCACACCCAGGCATCGCAGCAACATTTCGTTTGATTGCAGCACGATACGTCTGGCCATCCATGAATAAGGACGTTCGAATATGGGCTAAACAGTGTTTA